GAACAACAGGATACTGAGTCACCATAACTTTTTACATACTTACCTATGCTCGAAATCATCATCAAAATCACCAGTCTTTCCAGTGAAGTCCCTTTTACTTTCAAAGACCAAAAAATTTAAGAACAGAATTAGACATGTGCTGCACAACAATAATCTAAATGTCTTGTTTAAACCACTTATAATCACCAAAATTACAAGGTCTCTCAAAAAAGGCCCAATGTCAATATCTAAATATTATCAGTACAGCTGGCCTTTTTTGGGTCAGTATTTTTATATAGATGATCCCTTTCTATATATTTTGCATCCCTAAGAGACTTCTCCCTTGTGTATATAAAAATCAACTTACTTCTCTCTTCCCTCAGAAGTTTGTGAAGGGAATATTTTGTTTCTCAATCTGTCAATGAAGATAAATTATAGAATTAGGTACCATTTAACTCATAACAATTCACATTTCTAAAATACTTTCAGGTTTACAAAATTCTTGCCTCTCAACAACCCTGTGAGATAGGAAGTGAGCCCAAAGTATCATGTTTAAACTATATTCTCTGGATTCCTTGGAAAAACACATTTTTTAAAAATGTATTTGTGACAATGCTATTCACTGAGTTCAGTTGTTTATGTGATAGGAAATATTAATTCCTGATTCTGTCTTTCTATGCAGAAGTTGGCATAACTTCCAAATTAATTCTTCTATCACTTATAAAGCCTTACAGAGGAAAATTGGTGTTACAGTATCACTCTGAAGAAAGTAGGGAAAAGTGTGGAAAAGCAGGACTTTCTTCCTTTTTCCGAGGTTTTGGAAGCAGCCCTATATAATTTGAATAGTATATTCTGGCTCAATTGTCCTGGGGGAAGGTTGGGGATGAGAGTAGAGAATAATTAGGGAGAGAATGGTTTCCTATACCCCAAGGACCTGGATTTAGCAAGAAGAGCTGGTATGAGTAGAAGATACACTGGCCAGATGCTGAGGAGGAGAGAAGACAAATAGTGTAGAGTTTGCTTGGGTTTGGCTATAGACATATCCGAGATGAAAGGATTAAGTCCACACAAATGTAATAACATTTTTAATCTTGCTGGTTATATGATATTAGCTGGGTTGGCAGGGATATTTTATCTATGTTCCAGATGATGCTGTGCAATGTTGGCAGTTTTATTCTTTGAGAGTTCCCATTAGGGTTTTCTTCTTTTAAGTTCCTGTAGTTGTCTTCAGTAGTAATCCTTAGACTGGAGACAAGAGTAGGGGGTGTGTGTGTGTGTGTGTGTGTGTGTGTGTGTGTGTGTGTGTGAATAAAGCATTATCATGTTAAAAATCTGATTGTTCTTTGTCCTACCATACCTAAAAGTTCTTGAATCCTGACAAGATTAAGATTAATCCTGTATCATTTTATTGATCCTATTTACAAGTAATTGATTTTGCCCTGTAACTGCTTTTGTCCTATAACTGCTTAAGTCATGTTTCTTTGTCTCTAAACTTAGCTCAGAATTCCCTGGCCTGTAATGGGTTAAGTTTCAAAATCCAGCTCTCCTGCTCAAAGGAATTTTGCTAACCTTGGGGAATGTGTGAGAAAGCAAGAGAGTTTGGGCCTCTTTTCTTTACTCCACCAAGCTATCCTTCAGGGATGTCTAATTTGCTGTCCAAAAGTCTGGGTCCCTATCTCACACCGGCACTCAGAAAATAAGCATTTCTTATTCTCAAGAGAGAAGTGGGGTCATTGATAGCCTCCATTACCAAACTTCCAACCAATCATGTTGCTCCCTGTGCCTCAGTTCCATTAACCAGTCATGTTGCCCTTAATTCCATGATGTCTTCTGTCCTGCTCCATTCTTTGTTCCGTACTCCCCAAACCCTATATAAAGGGAACTGTCCTCTTGCTCCAGCATTAATGGAGACAAGCCACTGACCCATTTGACAGATAGCATGCCTCTGCTAATAAATATCTTGCACAGAGATCTGCCTCAGTTTATCCTTTTGTTAAAATTCAAACATTACAATCCTTAAGTTTAAAAAAATTCATTTTTTATTTCATTCTCTTTCCTCAAAAAATAAGGGCATGGGGGGCAGCTAGGTGGCACAGTGGATAGAGCTCCTATCTTGGAGTCAGGAGGACCTGAGTTCAAATCCAGCCTCAGATACATGACACTTACTAGCCGTGTGACCCTGGGCAAGTCACTTAACCACAATTGTCTCACCAAAAAAAAATAAAATAAGGCCATGAGAAGTTATTGAAGAAACTATTTAGTACATTTACTCAACTGGAAATTCTACACAGTAAATGGACACAAATTACACATTGATGAAGGCTAAATTATTAAGGGTTTATCTGATGAGGAGTTAAAAATGTATCTCATTCTTCTTTTCCAAGGGGTATTGATGTGGGGTGATGGGGAGGGAAGGGAGTTTTCATCCTTATTTTCCAGCCATTAGAAGTTGGGGGGAAACAGTCAGGATATACCTGAATCTTGTGCTCTAAACGACTAGTATAAACTAAAGCTAATAGGAGTATAGTTGCAGGAGGTCTGAAGAGGAATGTATTTAATTAAAGAAAAGAGAACTAATTCCCTTCCAAATCTCTTTCTTCCTTTTTAGAACTTTAAAAATAACTTTTTGAGGGAATGGTTGTAAAAAAAATATATGAATGTAATAGAACATTATTGTCCAGGAAGAAATGACAAATATGAAAAATTCAGAAAAAAAATTTAAGATACATATGAACTAATACAGAGCTAATAAACAAAGCCAAAATAATATATATAATGACTACAACAATAAAAATCAAAAGATCACTAATGTGAAATTGAACTATGAATAATGGGGGGGGCGAAGGGGAATCATCATCAAAGGTCTTGGAGAAGAGAAAATAAAATATTCCTCCTCTGTCATGGCAGAGAGGTGAGGCACATCTAGGACAGAATATTGAATATCATGTCAGACAAGTCTGGTTTTAATGTTTTCAATTATTAATTTTTATCACAAAAAAAGAAGGGCTGGCTATGGGCATGTCCCAATGTATCTGAGCCTCAGTTTCTGCATTCATAAAATAAGGTATGTTGGACTAAACGAACTTTAAGATCTATTCCAACTCAAATCCACCGATCCATGACTAGATCCTTCTTGACCAGAACAAAGAGGAGAGGATAAAAGGAGTAGAGAAATGCAAGGAGAATTCAAGAGAAATTAGTTACAACACTACTTTAGTACACTTGAAGTTCTGTCCCTCTACTTATATTGCTTTCCCCCCGCCTCCCCCATGACTCTGTGGGTATTAGAAATCTATCTCCTATGTTATAATACTCAATTTTAAATAAATTAACTGACAGGGCAAAGGAAATGGAAAGCCCTTCTCCAAATCAAGAGGAGCTGGGTTCTTGTCCCACCTTTGATACATATAGTTGATACATACAGACTGAACAACAACATAGAAGGCAGAAACTGGATTGTCGAGTCACTTCACTTTGTATCTGCCGCCCTACCTGGTTTCAGTGTCACAGAACAAGATTCCTCATGTACTCCCTGGTGTCCTCCTCCCTGCCCCCTCCTCTGCTTTCCTGCCTCCTTTTATGTGCTGTCTTCCCCTTTAGATTGTAAACTCCTTGAGGGGAGGAACTTTCCTTCTGTTCATTGTATTACCAATGCTTAGCACAGTGCCTGGCATGTTGTAGACAGTTGATAAATGTTTATTGGATTGGATTGGTGCAGTGGATAGAGTTGCTGGACCTGGAGTTAGAAAGACTTGAATTCAAATCCTGCCTCAGACACTTACTAATTGTGTGATCCTGAGCAAGTCAGGATCTTAACCTCTGTCTCCTTCAGTTTCCTCATGTGGGAAATGGGTATAATAAGAGCACCTCCATACCTCCCAGGGTTGTTGTGAGGATCATATAATATTTGTAAAGCACTTTTCAAACCTTGAAGCACTACATCAATGCTAGCTATTATTATTATGTTTATTATTACTATTTCCTCTGAAGCACAAGGACAACTTTTGAATATCTCTTTTAATCTTAGCTACCCCCCTTTCTATTTAGTTAGAAAAGTGAGGATTATCTTGTGACATTGAAGGACGTAAGAATATATGAGAACACCATCATACAAAAGTATGTGACAGTATCAGTTTGCTTCACAGGAATGGTCAATAGGCTATGAAAGAGATACTTTGAAGTTCGATTTAGCATGAAGTCATCATTGTCTGAATTCAAATGTTAATTTAAATTTGGTTGAATTCTTTGAGAGACTTCTCCAGCACTATTAAAATAATCTCTTAAAATTACATAGACAGTAGTGATTCCAGTAAGATACAAAAGCAAAGAATTCAAGAGTTGCAGGTAAGAAACAAGTTCAGATGAGATTGTATTTTATTTCTTCAAAGGACCAAAATCAGCAGGTACTGATCCTCTCCATTATGAGGAACAGTGGAATGAAGTAAGCATAGTAACCTTACTTCATTTTTTGTGATCTAAATGATGTGTACCTTGGGAGGCAATTTTTTTTTTGTGATGCAAGAAAGTTTGTCATTGGTAATAGTTGTTAGTTGAAGACTTCCCATCAAGTCTCAAATTGGATTTAAGGTTGTATTTAAGGTACTTTAAGATGGGATATGTGTGGGATATGTGAGAAAAATGTTTAACATGGAGGTAAGGGTGGAGGGATGGGACATCACTTTTACCTGAAATGGACAAAAGGGGGTTGCACACATGCAGTGCACACACACAATCTTTTCTTTGTGTCCTGTTGTATGCATGGAAATACTCCTTTTTCAGGGCATTTCAGTTCAGAACTTAACAAATAAAATAAGAAAAGATAACATGAAACAGCTTGTCAAAATTAAGGATGAATAATCATCAATTCATTCTAGAAAAATGACTCAATACAAGTAAATTTCCTGGATACTTATGAAACATAAGCTTTAACATCAAATTTCCACCTTTAATGTAAACTGAGAGACACAGCTAAGTCTCTTGTTCCAAAAGTAAGAAATTTGTATTTGGAAATCAGTAATTGTGTATCATTTAGCTTACTTACTTACGTAATAGATCTGACAGTTCCAAACAATCCAGTTACCATTGATAAGGTGCTATGTCTCACTTCTGAAATGAAGAAACTAAAATTTTGTTTTCTATTTCTAAAAGAGAAAGAGAATTATACAATTGCGTTTTATCTCCAAAGTGTGTAAGAGAGAATACTTCAGATAATTTAAATGAGATAATATTTGTAAAGTGCTTAGCACAATGCCTGGCATATAGCAGGCACTTATATAAGTGCTTGTTTCTTTAATTGAATTTTAACCAACATTTCTTTTTTTAAAATTAATTTATTTTGAATTATCAACAATCACTTCCATAAGCTTTTGAGTTTTAAATTTTTCTCCCCATACCTCATCACCTCCTTCCCCAAGACAATGCATAATCTGATATAGGCTACACATATACATTCCTATTAAACATATTTTCACATTACTAGTGTTGTAAGGAAGAATTAGAACTAATAGGAGAAACCACCAGAAAGAGGAAACAAAACACACCAGAAGAAAAAAAAATAGCTAATAGTATGCTTCAATCTGTATTCAAACTCCATAGTTCTCTCTTTGGATGTGGATAGCTTTTTCCATCATGAGGCCTTTGGAGATGTCTTAGATCCTTGTATTGCTGAGAAGAGTTAAGTCTATCAACATTAGTCATCACACAGCGTGGCTGTTACTGTGTACAATGTTCTCCTGGTTCTGCTCATTTCACTCAGCATCAAACCATACAAGTCTTTCCAGATTTTTCTGAAGTCAGCCTGTCATTATTTCTTATAGCACAATAGTATTCCAATACATTCATATACCACAACTTGTTTAGCCATTCCCCAATTGATGGGCATCCTCTCAATTTCCAATTCTTTGCCACCACAAAAAGAACTGCTATAAATATTTTTGTACATGTGGGTCCTTTTCCCATTTGCATGATCTCTCTGGGATATAGCCCTAGAAGTGCTATTGCTGGGTCAAAGGGTAAGCACATTTTTATAGCCCTTTGGGCATAGTTCCAAATTGCTCTCCAAAATGGTTGGATCATTTCACAACTCCACCAACAATGCATTAGTGTTCCAATTTTCCCACATCTTCTCCAGCATTTATCATTTTCCTGTTTTGTTATTTAACCAATATTTCTAAGACAGATGTTTGCCAACTTATTAAAATCACTAAACCCATAACTTTGTTCACAAAATAAATGAAGAAAAATGTTTTTTAATTTTCCTAACCAAATATATATACCTAGCTCAAGCACAATGAATCTGCCACATTTGTCCTTAAAATTACCTAGATTACTTAGTGCTCAGAAAGGTATAGAGCAAAAAGCTTTTTAAGCCCAGTTTTCAGATATTTATTGAATTACTACTGGTTATCTTCAACATAGGGGTTAAATTTCATTGAGGAACATCCTATTAGGGTAATGCACACAAAGGGATTTAGGAGAAGAAGGTGTACTTTGGGTCATTTCACAAAATTCTGTTGATATTACCCATGGAAAGGTGACACCTATGCTGCAGGAAAGGAAGTGAAGTTCCCTGAAGGACAGCCCTGCGTATATGAGGGAGACTTTGGATTTGTTGTAGTGTCTTGGAAACAAGATAATAATCTGTAGGAGAATTGGGTCTCACATATGTAGTGAGAGGTCTATTTGTGGCTAGGAGGCCCTGCCACATGAGGGTCATCATTGTATGGAGCAAAGGGAGGCAGAATAGACATCTCTAGCTTATTCTCCCCCCCATTCTTCTCCAAGGGAGACTTTCATTCCTTCCAGGAGGGGAAGTAGGAAGTTGGGACCAGAGGCCAGTTGGCCCTATTCAGAGAGAGGTCCTGGGCTAGAATTATATCTGTCTTCTCCCTTAAATATTATTAGTCTAGGGGATATGATTGAGTTCAATCTAATTTCTGATCACTTTGTCATTTTGGGGGGAAGGAGCACCCCAAGTTTTATATCCAAAGTTTGATCCCTTTTCCATCTAGTACTAGTTCCACACAGAACACACATAACAAAATGTGAAGAAATCCATTTATCCAAGTCATAGCAAAACAGAAATCAGAGAAGGTATACAAAGGAGCATATATATCAGATAATGCAGAGTAAAGGAGCTTTCCCATTGGGAAAGAGATAACTCAGCTTGACCAAGAAAGATTATCCTAGATGTCACCCAAGGGGAAATTCTCCGATCTCTGGTGTATTAAGCTGGGGATAGGGTCATGATAGAGACTGCCAGTCCTTCTCATGTCTTCCTAGAGTCTTTTCCTTCAGCAGCCTAAAGTGGGGTTGGCCTCTTCCATCTTCCCTGTTGAAGCTGGAAGCCAGAAGAACCTGAAGCAACTTAATGCTTGAAGAATCCTAAAGGTTAAGGAGTCCTAAACCAGTCCCCCAAACCAGGAGACTGCATCACTCTCAAAACAGAAGTACACAGGAATCAGGGACCAGAAAGAAGGCAAACTCCTTCTAACTAGGAGAGACTGCTGGTTACCTCAAAGGCAAGTGGAGTTTGTTAGATGTCAAGAGGGTGTCCCCAAGTCTTGTTTGCAGAGCTAGGAAGGAGAAGGGGAGAAGGGACCACTGGCTTAGGAAGCTCAAGGAGCTCAGGGGAGATGGAGACAGATATGGTTACTCTCAGAGCTATTCTTCCTTCCCTCCCTCCTTTGCTTCCCCAAAAGCATTACCTGACAAAACTGGAATTAATCGTCCTTAGGAATCTCCAAAAGAATCTACTCATTTTGGACCGGTGCTTGGGGCTACTGTTGGCCTCGCAAGTTCTGAATTGAGATAAGAATTCAAGTCTGAATGTATTTGAGGCTGAGGTTGAGGCTGATAAGAAAGGGGAGGAAGAAGGAGGTTTGTTGAGCCCTTCAGAGCTTGGGACTTCAGTTAAAGTTTTCTTTGATGGAGAAAGAACTTTCTCCTGCTCAGGTGCTTCCTCCACCCCAACCTTCTCTTCCTTGTCATTTCTTTCCTTTCCTTTCTTTTCTTTTGCCATAGTGGTCTTGTCATCTTTTCTCTTTTTTCTTTTTAAAAACTTTGGAACAAACTATCTTCTAATTGGAGGCTTCATCCTCCTGTTCAAGGTTAGGTCCAGTTTTCCCCACTGTCCCTTAATTAATTCATTTCTTTTTCTTGGCCCCTGAGAATCAAGGAGTACAGGGACCAGAAAGGTAAGCCTAATGGAGTAAAGAGAATCTGTTGCCTCCCATTCACATTTTCCTCTAAAAAAAAAATCTCTCCACCTCACTGAACCAAGAGCAGACACTTCCCTTGGAGTGGGTTAGGGAAAGAGGAGGCCAGCAACAGTGTAAGAGAAAGCTTTGCAAAGGAGAGGAGAAGGGGGTGGGGGCAAGATAGTGTCCTACCACTAAGGAGTACCAGAAACCTGATACTACTAGGAGGCCAGTACTGGAAAAGAACTCAGTAACCAAGGCAACACCAAGCTGCAGATTCTTATTCCAGAAGCCAGGTCAAGCTGTATAGGAGTAGTTTAATCTCTGGTCTCAAAACAGAAGACACACACACATACACATATACCCACCTACACACACTCACATGTACACACACATACATACACACATGCTGAGGAATATTCAGACTTTTTCCCTGAAGATTTAGGTTATAAGGCTTAAAGGCTCCAGAAGAATAAAATCAGAACACAAAGGTTGTGCATTTTAAAATTGTTCTTTCAAATATATCATTCGGTACCTGCTCCAAAAACATTATTAATGGACTTTCAGTTTACATGACCAGCAAGATGGAGTGGGGGTCCTAGTTGTGGCTTGGAAGGGAAAGGGAGTACAGAGGTTGGGCCCAGCAAGAAAGACCTGAGGCCAGAGGCACCATCCCCCACACCCCAGGATTAGAGATGACTAAAATGACAAGCTGCTAAACAATTTTTTTTAAATGAGCAAGGGAGAAATAACCCAACCATAAAGTTACTACTGGAATAGAGAAGACAGGAGTTTATCTTCAGAGAAGGATATTGAAGCAAAAAAGCCTCTCCTACCCCAAAGACTAATATCAAACGGTCACCTCCCCAAAAAGAATACATAGAAGAATTAAAAAAAGACTTCAAAAACTAAATAAGAGATTGAGAAAAAAAATTTTTTAAAGTAAGAATGATCCAAGAAAAAGAAGAAGATTATAAAAAGAAAGTCAACCACAACTAGAAAAGGAGATACAGAATCTTAATGAAGAAAACAACTCCTTGAAAATTAGAAGTGGGAAGGGGCAGCCAGCGAAGTTATAAGATATGAAGAAATAATAAAACAAAATGTAAACAATGAAAAAGTAGAAGAAAATGTGAGACATCTTATTAGAAAAACAACTGATCTGGAGAACATATCAAGAACAGAAAACATGAGAATAATCGGACTACCTGAAAGCTATGATCAAAAAAAGAATCCTCGATACAATAATCTAAGAAATAATCAAAGAAAATTGTCCTGAAGTGTTAGAACAAGAGGGGAAAGTGGAAATAGAGAAAAAAAAAACAATCACTACCTGAAAGAGATCTCAGAGGAAAACTACAGGAATATCATAGCCAAATTCCAAAACTCCCAGGTTAAGGAAAAAATATTACAAGCAAAAAGAAAAGAACAATTCAAATATGGCAGAGCTGTAATTAGAATTACACAGCAGCAGCTACACTAAAAGACCACAGGTCTTAGAACACTATGTATCAAAAAGTAAAAGAACTGGGGTTAGAAATATCATACTCAATAATGTTAAGTATAATTCTGAATGGAAAAAAAATGGGTATTCAATGAATTGGCAGACTTTCAGGATTTTATTGCAAGAAGACCATAACTTAATAGAAAATTTGACATACAAGATGCAAGAGAAATATAGGGTAAACATCAAAGACTAATTACAAAGGACTCAATAAGGAAACATTGTTTACTTTTTATACGTGAAAATGTAAACCACATATCTAAGATTGTCATTAGCAATTCGGTGCTTTGAAAGAAAGAGTGGGGTAAAGCTGAGTATGATGTGATTCTAAAAAGCAAAATGATGTAGGAAAAAGTGAAAAAAGTAATTATCTCATACAAATGAGGTGCAAGAGGAAGAAGTGATACAGAGAAATTAGATGGAGGAGGAGGGCAGGTAGTTCTGGAACTCTACTCTCATTGGAAATGGTTTAAACAATACACACATACACACACACATATTGAGAAGGGTATAAAAATCTTCTAATTTCAGAAAGAAATAAGAAGGTAGGGGTATAGGGAGGAGGGGATAGGGAGGAGGGAAAATAAAGAAGAGATAAGGAATAGGATAGGGGGGTAGAGAAAGACGTGTAGATTAATGAGAATGGGATAAAGAAGAAACAACATACATATTTAGAAGGGTATAAAAATCTTCTAAATTTAGAAAGAAATAAGAAAATAAGAGGATAGAGTGGAGGGAGAAGATAAAGGAGGGGTTCTTGGAGGGGGGTAGGTTAAGGAATAGGAGGGCAAGGTAGCAGATAGAAGTAAAGTAGAGTAGTGAGGAAGGATAGGAATAGGGTGAGAAGGAGAGTAAATAAAATAGGAAGGAGGAAAATGTATACATAATTATAGTTTAGAATGTGGATGGGATGAATTTACCTATAAAATGAACACTGATAGCAGATTAAAAATTTGAATTCGGCAATATGTTGCTCTCAGGAAATGCTATAAAAAATTGAGAGATACATATAAACATAAAATAAAGGTCAGGAGTAGAATTTATTATGTAAAAAAGCAAGGATAGTAACCATGATTTTAAGATCAAAGTAAAAGCTAAAATCAGATTTAATCAAAAGAGAAATATAGGGAAACTACACTATATGATAGCCATATTAATCAATAGTTTTAGACCACATAAAATAACTAGACAGTATTAAAAAATATATCTGCCAAAACAGACACAGGATCTATATGATTATCAACACAAAACACTTTTTATACAAACAAAGTTAGATCTAAATAATTGAAGTGATACTTATTGTGCATGGTAGGTAAAGCTAATATAATTTTTAAAATGACAATTTTACCTAACTAATCTATTTATGTAATGCCATCCCAATTAAATTACTAAAAAAAATTATCTTCCTGAGTCAGGAAAAATAATAACAGGATTCATTTGGAAGAGCAGAGGATCAACCAGGGGGAAAAGATGTCAAGCAATTAGATTCAGTAGTATCAGACCTTAAACCATATTATAAGACAAGAGTAGTGTTGATGTGTAAAATGGATAGTTTTGATTATTTTAAATTTAAATTTTCCTGTATAGATAAAACCTATGTGGCCAAGAATAGAAGGAATGCAGAAAATTGGGGAAAAACTCTCATAGACAATTTCCCAAATAGAATGTGATTGGGTCAGAATATTGCTGTGGTATAGGAAATGATGAGCTGGTAGATTTAGAAAAATATGGAAAGACTTGGATTTATGGTGGAAGATGCCATCCACCTTCAGAGGTGATTTACTCATCTCTCAAACAGAAATATGCCTGCACTACTTATTTGTGAGAAAACCTTAAAGCTGTATATAGATATGAGTTACATATATTATTCTGAAGTAAGTTGCTATCTGCTATCCAGAGTCAAATTGAATTAGCCCGAGGTTGAAGACAGGTAATAAAGGAAACAGATAAACACATCATTCAAAGAAATCAGAAATAACATGTGCATGTAGCTGGAAGTACTTTTTTTTTTGAGCTAGTAAACACACATCTTTAAGATTATCAAGAAAAATTTAGAAGACAGGGAAAGATTGCATAATAAGCAATTTAATTTGTATACTGTGCTTGAGAATCCCTTGGCTTATTACTATGTCATTATCATGTCTTGTCACATCCCAACACTGGGTTACCATCACTGCCTGGTACTAGAGGGAGTCACTCACCCCTTGGCTGACTGGATCCACTATGAATTTTTGTTATCAAAACTCAACAGGGCTCTCAATGGTCCACAGCAATCCCTTTATTTTCTCTCTAATCAGCTTTTGATTTGATCCCCAATGACTGGTTCAAACTTTTTCTTTTCTCCATGAGCCTTCCACACCACTTCTCCATTTTCACTCAGTAGAGGACTTTATCTCATACTTTACTGAGAAAATAGAGGCCATTCATGATCTGCCACCTCTTTCCCTTTATTCCATACCTCAAAACTCCTTGATATCATTCCTCATTCTCTCCTCTTTAGCTCCAGTCTCCAACATGGCCCTTTTCACCAAGATCAGCTCTTCTACTTGTGCCCTTGATTACCTCGTCTGATCTCATTGAGCAGAAAGCCCTTTCACTTGCCCTCCTCTTTCTTATTTCCTTTTTCTCCCTAGGTTCTACCTTACTTGCTACCTACAAACATTTTCAGGTATCTCCCAACCTTAAAAAACAAAACAAAACCTTCACTTTATCTTATCATCCCATTAAGTTATCCTATATCTCTTTTCCTGTTCATATTTAAACTTTTAGAAAAAGCAACCTACACTTTTTATCTACATTTCCTCTGCTATCACTCCTCAACACATTCCAATCAGGCTTCTGATGTCTTCATTCAATTGAAACTATTCTTTTCAAGAATTGCTATATGGAAAGGGAGTTAATATAAATCTTTCCTGGTTCCTCTGAAACCTCTGCTCCCTTTGTTATTTCTAACAGCACAAAAATATTCCATTACATTCATATGCCATAATTTGTTCAGCTGTTCTACAATCAGTTGGAATCCCTTAGTTTCTAGTTCTTTGCCACCATAAAAAGAGAGAACTCTGATCAATGCAATGGTCAACCATGATTCCACAGAACCAATGATTAAGAATATTAACCATTTCATGACAGAGATAATAAATGAACTTCTTGCCAATGTGGAAATTTATTTTGCTTGACTATGAATATTTGTTACCAAGGTTTCGTTTTTCTTTTCCCAAGCAGCAAGGGTAATATGGGAAGGAGAGAAAATAAATATTTATAAACTGGAAAAAATTTAAATTAATGGAATTAATAGCCATTGCTTAGCGCTCACTC